GTCACGAGCTTGTTTGTTATCGGTCCAGGCCATCTCTTTAGATGAATATTTGTCGGGGAAAACTAAGAAACCCACCAAATCTAGTTCTCCACTAAAACAATGGACATCTGAAAAAGCTTTGGTGATGTTGTGGTTACTTAATTCAATGCAACCCTCTATTAGTCGTAGCTTTTTGTTGCTTGATACAACTCATAAGATTTGGATAGCTGTCAGAGTTTCTAGGTAGATTGTGCAAATGATGCTACAAAATTTTAATAAATGGTTGAGAAGGAACGCGTGTATGACTTTTTTGCTGGCCTTAACATCAAGTATGATCAGATTCGGGTTCAAATTTTGGACTATAACCCATTTCCTACCTTACAACAGGCTTATGCTCATGTTCAACCAGAGGAGAGATGGAGAATTGATGTGGTTCATACACCTATTACACAAAGTTTTGCGTTATCTAAAATTCAGCCCAGTCCAAGTCTACTAAGTAGAGTGGCACTACTGGTAAGGATACCTTAAAGTGTGATTATTATGGGAAGACAAGGCATACAAGATAGTTTGTTGGAAATAAACTGGAATTCCTACACGTGGGTGCGGTGGTGGCCAAAGTGGAGGCCGAGGTGGTAATGTGCGCTCTCATACACAAATGACTGAATCCTCAGAGACTCCATCGCAGTCTAGTGGCACTACTACTTTTTCTTAGGATAAGATGCATACTCTTAGGCGCATGATGGTTCGGCTTGATATTTCCCCTACCATGGCTCCTAATCATATATCTTCTTCTAACTTTGCTCATACAGGTATATCTGCTAGTGTGATTACTGCATCATACTCATATACTCCTTGAATAATAGATTCTAGAGCTACAGACCACATGACTGGTTCTTCTAGTCTTTTCTCTTCATACTCTACATGTTCCAAGAGGGATAAAGTCAAGGTAGAAGATGGATCCTTATTCTCCATTTTTAGAAAAGGTTCAATTAATTGTTCACCTACCTTATCCCTCTCCTCTTGTTCTCTGTGTTCCAAATTTCTCCACTAACTTAATGTTTGTTAGTAGGATGACCAAATCCTTGAATTGTTTAGTAACGTTTTTTCCTACTCGTTGTACCTTTCAAGAACTGGGGTTGAGGAAAACGATAGGCAATGGTAAAACATATGGTGGTTTGTATCTCCTGGATGATGACGCTTCTTCTCAATCTACTTATCAAGCTTTTCAGGCAAATTGTATTTTAGCTTTTCAACTCCTACATCAGTGGCATAGACGTTTGGGACATCCTTCATTTGGTGTCTTAGAGCATCTTTTTCCTAATCTAGTGAAGCAGTTTAGTAGACAATTGTTTGTTTGTAATGCTTGTGAATTTGTCAAACACAAACATTCATCTTATCCTAGTACTAATTACTAAAGTACTACTCCTTTTGTCATTATTCATTCCGATGTATAGAAACCTTCCCATGTTGAATCTCTATCAAGTTATTGTTGGTTTGTCACTTTTATTGATTGTTTTTCTCGTTTAACTTAGGCTTATTTACTACGCACTATAAGTGAAGTTTTTCGATCTTTTCATGAAATAGTGAATACCCAATTTGATGTCAAAATTAAAATCTTTTGAAGTGATAATGGAACTGAGTACATTGATGAGAAATTTCACTCTTGCCTCACTGAGAATGACATTCTTTATCAAACCACTTGTATGAGTACCCCAGACCAAAATGGTGTTGCCGAGTAGAAAACTATCATCTTCTGGAGGTTACTAGTTCTTTGATGTTTACTATGAATGTTACTCAATATTTTTGGAGAGATGCAGTTCTTATGGAGTGTTCTTCAATTTATGTCCCCAATGGAGTGTCTTTCTAGGCCTCTTTAAATTCCTTCTGTTTCTTCCCTTCCTCCCAAAGTTTTTTGGTGTGTTTATTTTGTACACGACTACAGATCCTCTTAGGGAAACATGATCTTAAGGCTTTGCAATGTGCTTTTGTTGATTATTCTCTCACCCAAAAATGGTATAAGTGCTACCATCCACAATCTCACAAGATGTATGTTAGCATGAATGTTACCTTTCGTGAGTTTCAGTCTTTTTTTTTTCTCCTCTCCGACCATTTCTTCAGGCGAAAAACACCACTATTAAGAAAGAGATGGTATGCCAAGAGCCCTTTTGTCATTTGTCCCTCTAGTGGGATACTAGTCAAGNCTCTCCGACCATTTCTTCAGGCGAAAAACACCACTATTAAGAAAGAGATGGTATGCCAAGAGCCTTTTTGTCATTTGTCCCTCTATTGGGATACTAGTCAGGGGGAGCAACTAGTTGTTAGCACCAATGATCCACCTAGCACTCTGAATACTTATTCTCGCCATCTGAAGGTACAGACCAACCATGTACCACTAGGCCAATCGAATTCCCTCACTCCAGTTCTACCATCTCCTACTAAATTACTAGGTAATGAGCTTCCAGTTGTCACTCCTGTTATTGATAATCGAACTGTTGATGAATTTGAGCTTCTTTCTGTAATACAAAAAGGGTGTTTGAGCTTGTACTCAACACCCCGNACTCTGAATACTTATTCTCGCCATCTGAAGGTACAGACCAACCATGTACCACTAGGTCAATCGAATTCCCTCACTCCAGTTCTACCATCTCCTACTAAATTACTAGGTAATGAGCTTCCAGTTGTCACTCCTGTAATTGATAATCGAACTTTTGATGAATTTGAGCTTCTTTCTGTAATACAAAAAGGGTGTTTGAGCTTGTACTCAACACCCTGTCTTCAATTGTGTCTCTTATGATTATTTGTCTCCATCCTATCGTACATTTATTTATTACTTGTCTTTTTGATCTATTCCTCAAGGGTAGAAGGAAGCTCTCATTGATCCCAAGTTGAGAAAAACTATAATCGAAGAAATAAGAGCCCTAAATAAGAATGAAACATGACAATTAGTTCCATTTCTTGCTAGAGCAAGTGCAGTTGGGTGTAAATGGGTATTCACTGTTAAGCAACAAGTTGATGAGAAAGTTGACAGATACAAGACAAAAGTGGTTGCTAAAGTATTTAGTCAAACATACAGCGTCGATTATCAGGAGACCTTTGCCCCAGTGGCAAATATGAACTCTATATGTGTCCTCTTTTGTACAGTTAATTTAAGGTGGAGCCCACAACAATTGGATGGTGAATAATGTTTTTCTCCATGGAGACTTGGAGGAGAAAGTATATATAAAAACTAATGACAAGATAACAGTTCTCATTCTATTTGTGAATGATATAGTTATAACTAGGAATGTTTTGCATGAAATCACCAAACTGAAAGCTCAGCTGGCTAAGAAGTTTGAAATCAAAAACTTGGGTCCATTGAGATACTTTCTTGGGATTAAGGTTGTCAAATTAGATAAATGCATTTTTATTTCCAAAAAAAATATATATTCCTGACTTGCTCAAAGAAACAGGTATGTTGGGATACAAACCTATAGATTCTACTATTGAAGTCAACCATCGACTAGGTAGTAGTGTTGGTGATGTTGTCGATGAGGATAAGTATCAGAGATTAGTGGAGAGAGTGATGTATATCTCTTATCCTTGGCCGGATATTGACTATGTAGTGAGAGTTGCAAGTCAATTCATGCATGATCCTTGAAGCCTCATCTTAAAGTAGTTTATCACATTTTGAGGTATCTCAACTCATCTCCAAGGAAAAGGATCTTGCACTCCAATAATTGACNGGATAAGTATCAGAGATTAGTGGAGAGAGTGATGTATATCTCTTATCCTTGGCCGGATATTGACTATGTAGTGAGAGTTGCAAGTCAATTCATGCATGATCCTTGAAGCCTCATCTTAAAGTTGTTTATCACATTTTGAGGTATCTCAACTCATCTCCAAGGAAAAGGATCTTGCACTCCAATAATTGGCACTTGAAACTTTAAGCGTTCACTAATGCAAACTAGGCAACTTCAGTGGATGACAGAAGATCCACTTAGGCTATTGCACCTTGATAGAAGGAAAAATTGTCACATGACGAAGTAAAAAATNATCTTGCACTCCAATAATTGGCACTTGAAACTTTAAGCGTTCACTAATGCAAACTAGGCAACTTCAGTGGATGACAGAAGATCCACTTAGGCTATTGCACCTTGATAGAAGGAAAAATTAAGTGGTGGTAGAAAAGTCGAGTGTAGAGGTTGAATACAGAGCTATGGCCTATGGTGTTTGTGAATTTATGTGACTTCAAATTTAATCAAGCAAGTTTGAAATTTGTGAGGATGGGCCTATGAGAATGTCCTGTGCTAATAAGGCAACTACCAACATTACACACAATCCACTAAACATGTCGAAATTAATTCACACTTCATCAAAGAGAAGTTGAACAATGGTTCAATTTGCATGCCCTTTACGAAATCAGAAAATTAGTTGGCAAATGTTTTCATAAAGGAGGTTAGTAGCAAGTTTTTTCATCCTATCATTTGCAAGTTGAGTATGATAAACAAAAGATACGGTAGAGCTAGGACAGTTATTGTATGAAGTCTACCCAATGCTAGATGCAGAGGCACATAATAGATCAATATGAACATCAAGAGTTGTCCCATAATAAAATCAGTTGTAACTGATACCTTCTTTTCGGTTTCTTCTTCCATAATCTGAACTCGAAGAAGGAAAAGATAAGAAGGCCCTATGGAGAATGTGGTCAGAAATCCATAATAGAGTTTGACCACAACGACCGAATTTATTATCTTCATATACAAGGGTATTTTTGGTAATATGTGGATATATATATATTGGGATATAGTCATGTAACCCTAATGCACTACACTTTTCCCTTAAATCTTTTTTCTTCTTCTTAATTTTCTCTTTTCTTCCTAACCCTAATTACTCACACAATCTAACTTAAACCATTAACACATGTCAAACACCTTAAATGCAAAGTGTTGGGGCAAGTGACTCTATACAGACCTAATCCTTGGCTTTATTTTGCACAAAGGGGACACAAATCCACAATACATAAACAAGGCAAAAAAGACTTACTTCCATAGAGACAACTGGTAAGTATCCAATATGCTTCTGAGCTGCAGAGCAGTTGAATGTCCTAGTGCATGAGGCTAATTTAACAATGTTATGAACTGACACAAAATGGTTAAGCTTTCTGGAGTCCATCTTTAAATGCACCCATTTGACAAGATGAATAATATATGAGACCATCCTAGCAGGAAGCTTGATCATCGGTCTGCAATCAGAAGTAAGCCGCAACTCTATTTCAGGGAGTATGATCATAAATCCATTATAAGCACATAAAATGAAATATATACAAATTTTCACTTAATTCAATACACATTATGCCCGGCTGGCAGCAGGCCAAAAGGAACGAAAAGAAATGCTAATTGAGGAAATGGGAAATGAAAAGAAAGTGAGGATATTTGAAGCCACTCACCAACATTACAAGCAGTTAAGCAAAGATTTAAAAGCTAAAATTGAGAAGAAAAAAAAAGGCCATCAAGTAAAATCGTGAGGGTGGCCCAAAAATTGGAAATTTTAACTCATTTAGTAGCCTCATAGCTGCATTTTTGTAAGAAAGCCAACCAGCCGCATAGAATGAGAAAAAAAAAAAGTAAAAGAGAAGGAAGCAAATCAAAGTTCATTGTTGTACTAACAAAAACAAATAAAAATAACAGCTTGTTCTCCATTGAAAAAGTATCAAAGAAATTTAAACAAAAAGATGAAAAGAAAAGGAAGACGAGCAATAAATTTGCCACCATGCCATTTTCCAGCAATTAGACGAAGCACAAAAACAAAATAAACATCATTGGATTTGGCAATTACTAAATAATCACACAACGGGCAATGACAATAACTTATCAAGTTGCTCCATTGTGACCTGGGCATCAAGGCTTGAATCATGAAACAGTTTCTCTATATGTAGGGGTAAGGCTACTTACATTACATTTGACCCACCCCAAAACCCGTAGTAGGGAAACCTCATGTTCTAAGCCACCCTTTAAGTGATGATGAAAATTCCACATACATCTCAACAAAAGTATGAATCTATGAAAATGCATGGATGACATTCAATGCAATTAAGTATTTGTTAGAGTAATCTAGTATATTTAATATTAGGGATAGTTTAGTCATGTTCCTTGCTTTGTGTTGCGCTACTATAAAAGAGTCTTTACTATGTATCATAGGTTGGTGTGTATTACACAAACCAAAAATGCCATAATAATATTTTCTCTTTTCTCTTCTTATTTGTTCTTTCTTTGATCAATATTAACAGGACAGGTGGCAGACTGTCAATTCTGACTTAGGGGGATATAGCAATGCCTTTGTTACCTCGGATAACCCAAGCCTTCTAATATGAGAGACACAAATTCCCAGAACCCCATCGGTTCGAGATTAGTGATGAAAAATACCTGCAAAACAATTGTGAGGGAATATCCTTCTTAAATATAAAATTGGTTAATTTTTTAGATAAAAGCAGAAAAAGAGCATAATCGGAAGATACCTTTCCAGACACAAAAACCATACGAGAACCTAGAGCTTCTTCTACACAGATATGGGCATGGGCAACGTTATCCACATAGGTGAAGTCAGATATGTTTTCCCCACTTCCTATAATAAACTGAAATGAGAAACTGTATTACTTATTCAAAAAGACTACATTAGAAAGACCTATGAGTGCTCAGAAATGCAAGACACTTCAAAATGTCCAAAAAAGAAATGGCAACATTGATAGAAAACGATAGAATATTATTAAACGAAATGAGAAGAGAAGACTACATGGGAACAATCAAAAGAACAGGCAACAATCAAACATATGGAGAACAGGCAGCCATCAGCAGCCGATTCGAAAATGTTATATATTTGATATATACAACAGTTAGAATTCCAGGAAACAATGCTTGTCTTGTTTAGCATATCAAATGAGTAGAACACCACCAAGCAAAAGAAGTGAACCTTAAAGATGTGAGACATAAAAAAAAACTCAAATAGGATTTATAAACAACTTATACTTAACTTACTACATTCAATAAACTGTCCCAAACTATTTATTTAGAGCATAATAATTCAAAACAAACAACATGTCAAGCGAAGTAAATCAAGAGTTTTCAAACCTTTGCCCATCCGGATTTCGCTATATTCACCAGCAATGGCACAAACTGTTTATCTCCAGGTCCAAAAACATTGCAAGAACGAATTGCACATGTTAGAAGGCCATCAATGTCGTTAGCATACAGGACTAGTGCCTCAGCTTGGGCCTTCAGATCGGTCAACATGTTCTCAAACTGGACCATGTACAAATCACCAATTGATGATCAGTGGGGAACGAGAACTAAAGACATTTTATCAGACATATGATGAAGAAGCTACCAAAAAAAGAGGCATACTTTCCCAGAATATGGTAATGACTCATTTCCATCATGTATATCACGTGAACCATCAAATACTACGTCTGCAGTACTGTTATATATGAGATGTTTAACTTTGCAATCTCGACAAGCATGAATGACATTTTTTGCACCTGAATGATAAAACCAAACATAAGCATCTTAACCTTTTCAGTGCCAAATTGATTCTTACTCGTAAGCCTATCCAAGTGAAATGAATTGGCATTACCTTCAACAATGAACAAGTAGCAAAGATAGAAATCATCATGAGTGTATGAATCAGTACTGTCCATGTAGAATACAACAGATGAACCTTCAATAGCTGCAAAGGATGAACATCTTGCAAGTTAATTTCTCAGCCCCAATGTCAATATTATAGCCTGAAAAGGAAAACTTCAAAAAAGAGAGATAGAGAACATGTGACATCACGATGAGGACAACATTGCAAGCTAGAAACGAGTGCCTAATTACAATTACAGGTAAAATACACCTATCACCATTTGACCTCGAGAAAATGGTAGGAAAAGAGACAAATTCAAGAGGATCAATCATCAGCATGACAATAAACCCCTACTCCACTGAACCTGATATTATTATATGGCTTTCTAGAAGCAAATTTTACAAATTTGCAAAAGCAATCCAAAATTCAACATTTTATCTTTCTGATTTCTTTCAATTTAAAGATTGAGAGAATCAAAATCAACTTGAACCCATCTAAGTGCAAGAGCAGTGTGTGTTTGCATGCCCATGCTTGTGGTTAGTCAAGAGCTCAAATAAATGCATATAGATACACATATCCTCCATATGAAAAAGGCAACTCATCAACTCAAACTAAGAAAACAACATCAAACTTAATTCACAAATCACGGACACTTTTAGTTGTTTCCCCAGAAAAGAAACAGAACCTTGAAAATCACATTGATTAAGCGTCAGCCCTGATTATGGTGTTCTATCATCCGCAACATCATCTGCGACATGACAGCGCAAGGCTGTGTATCGAAAAGTTATGAAATGTGCCGAGCCTATGTATAGACCCACATTTACATAATCTAGTTCTAAAGCTACATACACGAAATTCTAACAATTCACTCCCACTTATGTCCTCATAAAATTTATCAACTCAGTTCCAGTTGAGTCACATCAACTCCTACATAGATGAAGTCACAAAATTCTAATATTTATACGTCTCAGCAACCAAACAAAACCAAAATTCAATCAAGTCACTCCCATTAACCAAAATTCAATCAACTCACTCCCATTAAGTCAAGTTCTTTGTGTCCTACATAAAAGAAAAGTTATGAAACCTCGTACTTCTTTGTTGGGTAAATAAAAGCTCTAATACTTCAACTCTCTCTCTCTCTCTCTCAGTGAGTGCGTGTTTTGGAATCCTTATTCACTTTTATTTCTTGCATTTTCTCAGCAACAAACCAATTAACATGATGTATATTTTAACAAGTAGATTATAAACTGACATATATTTGCATAGAGTGTGGGTATACCTTTGATGATTTGGGGTTTATTGCGAACATCGACGTGAAAGTACTCGGAGCGACCGGTCGAGAAGGCTTGTGATAGAATTGAATCTTTCTCTTCGGAGGAATCGAGTTGGAGAGACGGAGTCGAATCGGCAACTCGGACGGTCCAATTGCCAAGTTTCAAGAGCTTCAACACCAGCGATCTTCCAATGAGGCCTCGGCCTCCAAGAACCACGCAGGTTCTTAATTGTTGGTGATGATTGTCTATCTCCATTTTCTTTAATTTTCTCGGCGATCAAGAAAGTAAGGAAAGTAAGATATGTTGCAGAGAGAGAGAGAGACAGAGAGAGAAAGGGTGGTTGGGAGACGAGAAAATTAATGATTCTTTATAGAGTGAATTACAAAATACCCCCTCTAAGTTTGGGTCATGTTGCAATCAACTCCCTTAAGTTTTAAATTCAATAATTTGCCCCCTTAAAGTTTTTTAAGATTTAAATTAATTGAGAAAGTGGATGAAAAATACGAAATTCCTAAAATACCCCAACATCTAATTCTATTTTCTATTTTCTCTTTTAATCCAACCCCATTTCCCCAGCTCCGACGAGGCCTCCAACCCCCTNCTTAAAGTTTTTTAAGATTTAAATTAATTGAGAAAGTGGATGAAAAATACAAAATTCCTAAAATACCCCAACATCTAATTCTATTTTCTATCTTCTCTTTTAATCCAACCCCATTTCCCCAGCTCCGACGAGACCTCCAACCCCTTTCCCGTACTTCAACGGTGTCCCCAACCCCACCTCTTGCTATGGCCATCCCCCACCCCCTGCTTTAGTGATGCCTCCCCCCCAAAAAAAATCTTTTCCCCCCTGTTCTAGCGATGGTGCCCCAACCCCACCCTTTACCTTTTACTTTGATAGTCCCCCAACCCCTATCTTTTACTCTGACAGTCCCTCAACCCCCCACTCCCTGCTCTAGCAATACCCCCAAACCCCTTTCCCCTGCTTCAGTGGTGGCGCCCTCAACCTCTACCTTTTACTCCGGCAGTCATCAGACCCCCCACCCCTGCTCCAGCAATGGCCCCCAAATCTCTTTCCCTTTGTTTTAGTGGTGGTGGCCCCACCTCTCACCTCTTGTTCCGATAGTCCCCCAACCCCCACCCCCTACTCCAGTGATGCCACCAAATCCCTTTCCCCCTACTCTAGCGATGGCGCCCCGACCCCCCTTTTGCTTCGGCAGTCTTTTAACACATACCCAATGTTAGTAGCACCCCAAAATCCACCTCCACTAGCCTTTCCCATATCGGTACAAACAAACTCCCAAGCCCCCACTTCACAGCAACCATTGAATCAATCTAGTCAACCATGGCACAACAACAATTGGATCTAGTCGTGTGTGTGTGTGTGTGTGTGTATATATATATATATATATGTGAATTAAAGGACAGAGGGANATACCCAATGTTAGTAGCACCCCAAAATCCACCTCCACTAGCCTTTCCCATATCGGTACAAACAAACTCCCAAGCCCCCACTTCACAGCAACCATTGAATCAATCTAGTCAACCATGGCACAACAACAATTGGATCTAGTCGTGTGTGTGTGTGTGTGTGTGTGTGTGTGTGTGTGTGTGTATATATGTGAATTAAAGGACAGAGGAAGTTGGGTTTCACCAAAAGAGGGGAGTAGTTCAGTTGTTCGAGCATGGTGGGTGAGGCTGGGTTTCACTGGAAGGGGAGAGAGTTGGGATTTCGCCAGTACAAGTTAGGGTCGAATTAAATTTTATTTTATTTTTTTCAAAACAAAAGATTGAGATATAGGTAGTTGTACTTTTGATCAATTTTAGATAATTTTTATATTAAATTTCTGTCATTTTTAACGGTGTAAACTAAGTGAGGAGTTAATTAAAAAAATTCGGACATTAAGGGGCAAATTGTCGAGTTTAAAACCTAAGAGAGTTGATTGTAATATGACCTAAACTTAGAGAGAATATTTTATAATTAACCCTTCTTTATACATAGATAGAGTGGGTACTTGGCGCCGAAAATAAGAAACCTTTGATTACGTGGGGCTTAAGAATCAAATGGAGGGTGAACCACCGGATCTAACACTTGACCTGTTTCTCACTTTTTCTACACAGTTTTATTTTATTTTATTCTTTTGATTTTTTAGTAACATATTTAGGGCAACGAAATAGTTTTGTGTGTATTTGTGCATGCCTTGTCCAAAAAAAAAATAGTTTTGCTCTATAACAGCTCACACATCGAAAGTTTCTTTAAAATCACACTCGTTATGTATATTCTAATCTTTTTTCCATAGACTATGAAAAATAAAAAAGAGTTGGTAATTAAGCGTCAATTATTTTGGTTATATGTCATGAAGTCCCTCTGAACAAAAGAATAAGTGAATCGTCACTTTTGAAAGCAAGCAACTCTCTATCATTTACTTATATGTCACGATGTCCTTATGAAAAAAAGAATACGTGAATCATTACTTTTGGACTCAAGCAACTCTACCATTTACTCTATTGCATTCTATCATCTTTTATTGTATTATATTGTATCAGACTAAATGGATCTATTAAGTGATGAGAAAGGGAAAAAACTCTAAACATATATTTTTTATATTAATAGGAATCAACATTCATTCCTAGATTCCTGCATATTGANTTTGTGCATGCCTTGTCCAAAAAAAAAATAGTTTTGCTCTATAACAGCTCACACATCGAAAGTTTCTTTAAAATCACACTCGTTATGTATATTCTAATCTTTTTTCCATAGACTATGAAAAATAAAAAAGAGTTGGTAATTAAGCGTCAATTATTTTGGTTATATGTCATGAAGTCCCTCTGAACAAAAGAATAAGTGAATCGTCACTTTTGAAAGCAAGCAACTCTCTATCATTTACTTATATTGCATTCTATCATCTTTTATTGTATTATATCATATCAGACTAAATGGATCTATTAAGTGATGAGAAAGGGAAAAAACTCTAAACATATATTTTTTATATTGATAGGAATCAACATTCATTCCTAGATTCCTGCATATTGATTGTCAAAACAATTCACAAATATAAAGTTGTGGAAATTACACACATAATTTGACAAAAAAGTACGAATAATAAAAGAAATGAAAGCTAAATACATCAAAAGCATACAACCACACTCTATAATCCGAGATTTTTGAAAAAGGGTTTTAAATAACTAATAAAATTCTATACATTTTGGATTTGTTTGATGAAGGTGTAAAGATAAATTCAACAAATTTTTCAACAATTTGAAAAAAAAAATTATAATTTTGATTGCTAGAGGGATTTTTTTTTTTTGCAACATATAGTGATAGATTACTATCAAATGAACTATTACAATCATTAAGACAATCCTTCTATATTAGAGGAGAAAACACTCATTAAGAAAAAATATTCAATAAAACAATGATACCATGTCATTATTGACATACGGTATCACAATCAATATTAAAACCACAGAATAGGACAAGTGAAATGTACTATTCTAACAACCACCAAAAATTGCCACTTCTAGTAACTTTCAAATTGAATTTTAGTGGGATTCAGTATTCTTATTTATTGGTATATATTAGATCGTATTTTATAGTTGACTAATTTCGTGGAGTCTTTTGTAAATATCAACCTATTCCATGGTCATTAAGCTACAACGATGAATATCCCAAAACATACTTGAAGGGAGGAGATCATGTGTCAAAACTACATCAAAAACACTTTGAATGCACCTTCTTATTTAGGACAATGTAATGACCTCGATATTTAAGATGATCTCTTGGTTTAATAGAGTTAGGAGAATTAACGTTACAAATGAAATTAGTATTAGATTTGAGAATGGCTCCTAGGTGTTATTAAAAGAAAAGTTTTTCTAAATCTCTTGTGCATTTTGAAAACATAGGAATGAGCCATCATCGGACCCCTCTTGAGCAACACCCTTTAGTGTTCAAAATGACAAGTTTTTTGATTAATTTTAGGCTTAATAAATCAATAGGGGACCTGTNGGACCCCTCTTGAGCAACACCCTTTAGTGTTCAAAATGACAAGTTTTTTGATTAATTTTAGGCTTAATAAATCAATAGGGGGCCACTNGAAAACATAGGAATGAGCCATCATCGGACCCCTCTTGAGCAACACCCTTTAGTGTTCAAAATGACAAGTTTTTTGATTAATTTTAGGCTTAATAAATCAATAGGGGACCTGTCTATGCTCGCTAACCTTCACTAGAGTAGTCTCTTCATGACTTAGGAAAAAGATATGTAAAGGCTAAATGGAGGATAGCATGGGTCTCCCTTTGACGTAGCTCAAGCGGTCTTAGAGGTCGCTCGAGCAGTCCCCTGGTAGCTCAAGCAGTCAAGCTTTCCTAGGTTGGTGTGAAATTCATTTTTCATTCCAGTGACCACCCCTTAGGACTGTCCTCCTATGGCTCAAGCAGTCGTTTACGAATCTGAATTTTTTTGTTGACCTTGATTGTGCTCATTCCAAACCTATAAATGGAAAAAGTCTTTCCTACACTTAGAGTAAGCCTTTTGTGAGTATTTTGAGAGTGAAAATCTTATCTTCTACCTGGAGAGTTTCTACCACAACCTCAGATCCTTAACATCCAAGGCTACTCTCCAGTAATTCTTATTCAACCTCACAATTTGGTGAAGAAGATCTTGATTGGTTGAAGACCAATGTAAAACCCGAATAAATTTAAATTTTTTATGAAAAATGACAATGGTAATTTGTCATTACAGTACGAGTTGTAAATTTAAAATTTTCTAGAACTCAGATGAAGAAATGAACCTAATTATTGGATTCGTCTTGCAAAATCTAGTTACCCCGTCAAATTTCATCAAATTCTGATATAGTCATATTTTTTACGTTTTACGAGGAGATCGAGTCTCGGGTAACCCAAAAACGAAATTTTAAATAAAATTTTGAAATTTGAAAAATAATTTAAGACAAATTAAAATAAAATTATTTTGAACTTGAACCGAGACGAAATTTAATCGTTTCGAGGTGAAAATGGACTCAAAAAAAAGAGGGATGTATGGCGCGTTGTGGGCCAAGTGTTCAAGGGGTATAAATGGGGGAAAAATCATATTTTCTCCCCCATTCTTCAGCTAGTTCCAACGTAANGAAAAATAATTTAAGGCAAATTAAAATAAAATTATTTTGAACTTGAACCGAGACGAAATTTAATCGTTTCGAGGTGAAAACGGACTCACAAAAAAGAGGGTTGTATGGCGCGTTGTGGGCCAAGTGTTCAAGGGGTATAAATAGGGGGAAAAATCATATTTTCTCCCCCATTCTTCAGCCAGT